GTCTGTTTAGAAACACGAAGCTGTTTTTAAGGTGCAGTGATGTAAACTAACTGAGGGTCCTCCTTCACTACTGAAAGGCGAGTTTTAGAATGTCTCCCATGGACCGTCTTTAACCGCAGCAGACCTGCATTGGGTCAAAAAGACAATGCCCTGCCTTGGAGACGTCCTCTCCGCTCACTCCACCCCCACCGGGGGCCTTGGCTGTAACCCTAGCAGAAAGCAGAGACGTGCAAGACAGATGGAATAGCACCGCTCTCCTCTCTCTGTCACATCACCACGCCACTCTGGGCACATGCTGGACGAGCTCTGGTGGCCGAGTGGGGGACGCACTGAGCTGCTGACCACAGTGTTCATGATTTGAACCCTCCGACTGCTCCACAGGAGAGAGACGAGGCTTTCTATTCTCATCAAGAATAAACTTTTCAGAAACCAAAGGGGTAGGTCTACTGAGTCCTTTAGGGTCACTTGGAGCTGGCACCAACTCCATGGCCTTGAGTTTGGGTAGGTCTTCAAAGAGATACTGTAACATGTCATTAATCGGCATTTTCTTGATATCAAAGTATCATTTAGAGTCCTTCTAATAGGATATTTTGTTCACTAGGTGACTTTCAAACTTTCTGAGTGTAAAAATCAAATACATTTTTTTACTGGTGTAAGTCATTTCCCTTGGCATCAACACAAAACAAAATTCGATATGACTAGCTTATTAAATGAGCAAGTGAGGAAAACGGGACAACCTCTTCTTCCAGAAATGTTTAAAATCATATGAGAGGGAGAGGGTTCAAAAAGTTTGTAGAAAAATTCTATTACCTTTTAATTCCATTTTCCATGACCTTTTTGAAGCCCCCTTGCCTACGTGGATAGTCCTCATCCAGGAAGTAGTATGATTGGAATTAGTGAATCTCTTCCAAAAATTACCATATGGAAAAGGATGTTTTAGGGGACAGAAGAGACCCAAAAATCTCCAATATAATTTAAACAGGACAAGACAAAGACACATCATCTGGATGAGGGAGACCATTAGCCTAAGGTCACAATAGCATTCAAGGATCTACAGAAATTTGGCTCCTTCCATGCAATGTGAGAGGTTAAAGGAAACTGTCACAAAAGCATAATTGGTAACAGATTGAGACATCACAATTGCAAGTGGGACTATGTACCTAATGCTAAGAGAAAAGCTTTCAAGGTTAGTTCAGGGACCTCTGACCAAGACAATCATGGTACATCTTGTTACCCTGTGGTCTAGCACCTCAATTTCCATTAAGGGCACCCCAGTCAAACCCCTAAGGGTGAGGCGGCTTCTCCTTAGACTGGCTCAGGAAGTGGTGGTAATACACGCACTAATAGACTCTGCTGGATGGCAGGGCCATTCGCACTTCCGGTACCATGGTCAGAAAGAATTCAAAGGAGGCTGAATTTACATGGCGTCTCACAAGTGGAGTTAGTACTTCCCCTGTGCACTGTAGCTTTCTGCAAACTTAGCGCTCAGAATTTAAACTCGAATACAGGGAATAACATCATTTTTACAGCGAAGAAGTCTGGCAAACACTAATACCCTGATATGATGTGATGAAAGTGACATTTCACCTATGTGGTATTCTTCCCTAAAAATAATAATTCCTGTCAAGAAAAACATCAGCAACTCAAATTGAGGGACAGTCTACCAAACACCTAACCAATATTCAAAACTGTCAAGGGCATGAATAACAAGGAAAGCCTGAGCAACTCTTGGGAGGGGCTCATCAGAAAGACTATTTCATGATATCATCAAACTTTGTGGGGGCAGGGGGGACAATGATTCAACCAATCAGGCCCATACAACGAAGCCTCAATGTAAGTACTGGATAAAGCCCAAAGAGGGAAAAACATGAATGTGTGGCCATCGAATCAATTCTAATTGAAAGCAACGCTATGGACTAGCATAGACTTGCCCTGTCGGGTTTCCAAGCCTGGAATCTATCAGGAAGCAGGTTACCCCATCTTTCTCTTGCAGGATACCTGGTAAATTAAACCTCCATTCTTTTCCTCAGCAGCTGAGAACTTAACCACCACGCCACCTGAGTTTCTCCCAAGGGAGACCTTTGCCCTGGGCACCTTCCTAGACTTGGCCCTAATTGTCTCTTTATTTGTATCCTTTTTGCTATGATAAAATTGTAATTCTATGTGTAAGTCTCTCTCTCTGTCTTTCTCTCTCGCTGAGTTCTGCATCATTCTCATCAATTACCAAATCAAGGAAGCCATGTGAGTCAGCAGGTCATCAGTGAGGAGGCGTCCTGAAGACCCCCAAACTTACAGTTGACATTCAGGGCCGTGTCATATAAACCCCCAATTTGTAACCAGTGAATCAGAAGGGAAGGTATTGTGGGTCTGCACGCTTACAGTTGGTGTCTAAATTCTTGGGCAGAGTTGGATTCGGGAAGACTGCTTTCAGGACTGTTTTCAGGTGAGGTCTGACCTAGCTCTGGGTAGGGAGGATCAGAAGAATAAACGCTGCGTGTGCAGCTGGTGTCAGGACAGAAATGGGACAGAAAGGGGCAGGATGAAATAGATTGGATAAGTCTTTACAGTTTGTGTGGGGAGTGGAAATTTCACCACAGTTACCACCAAAGACAGACAAACAAACTCACACCTTGAGTCAATACCTACTCCTAGCAATGTTATAGGGAAGCATTAGAATTGCCTCTGGGGTTTTCTGAAACTATAATTCTATACAAAAGTAGAGAACCGCAGCTTTCTGCCGCTGAGCAACTGGTGGCTTCTAGCGACTGAGCTTGCAGTCAGCAGACCAACAAATAATGCGGATTACAGCCCAACACATCGCCCCTGCACCACCGGAGCTGCTCCGTCACCACCAGTGACTTTTAAAGCTCCTGTACTTATCTCTGGGGAGCCCTGGTGGTGTAGGGGTGATGTGTTCGGCTGTAATCCACATGGTCGGCAGTTTGAAACCACCAGCCGCTCTTCTACTCCCATAAACGGGTTTACTCTGAGTCGGCATGGACTTGATGGTAGTGGGTTCGATACTTTAATCAAATGACTGCCTTGACCACTGCTGTATTCATCAGACCTACACCAGTTCCTGGCACATAACAGGGACACAATAAGTAGTTGTGAACCAGGTGCATTTTATTGAATGAGCAGGATCAATCTCATGAAAATTCCCACAAACTTCACTCCAAGTTAAGAGGTTGTTTTTGTTTTGTTTCCTTCAGCTGCGTCTTGTTTCAGGCTGGAAGCCTGGATGTGATGCCCTTGTTTTGTTCCCTCCTTGTCCATCGCTGCCTCTTTCTTCCACCTTAGCCCCATCTCTGGTTAAGCTTGTAGACATTTGCAAGTATGGGCCCAGTGACAGAAGTGACAGAAGAGATACAATTGTGAGGTGAGGGTGGTGGGCCTTCACAGATGGTCAATCACTATAGTATGCATAAGGATCCTTCCAAGTGACCATTTATGACCATAGCCCTTACCCCTAGGGTCTCTGGGGACTGACAAAACCTCCCACTTGTTCCCTTGGCCGTCAGCAAAGCAACCCTTCTGAGGTAGGATCCTTTAAAAACTAGCTTCCAAAGCAAGTCCTTCCTACTGGCTCATAGGGACACTTTGTTACACTTGCTTCCTCACCTATCCGCCCATCCATCCAGCCCTCTATACAGCCACTCGTCCACTTTGTTTTTGGTAGGAACAGTTCAAAGTAATTGCAGACATTAGTACATATTCCGCTGGGGAAACGCACGTATCCGCAGTTGGTCCATGCGCAGCTTGTTCCCGGCGCCGGGCTCTTTCTGCTCCGCCTTTGGTTTGATCGGGAAAAGATCAGACGCCAAGTCTGTGCGTTCTCGCAGACCCTCCAGGAGCCCTGTATCAAGTTCTGTCAAGTATCTCCCAGAAGGTTCTTCTTACAAGGCTTGAGATAAAGGGAAGTGCACCTTGTAGCCGCAACCCCAGTGGGAGGTGTAGGTAGGATCAGATATCTCCAAAGAAATGCTGTCCGAGCCCTCCCTCTGTCCCCAACTCCACCCCCACCCTCTCCAGGCTGAAGGTAGGGATGTGTAAGGCTGAGACACAATTTATTAATGTAGTCAAGCAAGTCCGTCAAAAAAGCATTGCTGTAAAACCACAGAAAACTATGAAAATGATGAAACCGGGAAGCTATTTTCTCTGGGCATAGTCTCGGTGTGAAGGAGGTATTTTATCTCCCTCCTCCTTCCCCCAAGAATTCTGCATTCTTGGATTTCCACCACGTCGAAATGGCAATTTGTACATCCACAAGGGACTCAAATCGCCTTCCTTTTAAATGTTCTTTGAATTGGGGGAAGAGAAAACAGGTCTCAATGGGGCAAGGCTGTCGCGTGGATGGGCTGAGATCTCCCAATGAAATTCTCACAGTGTAGCCCTTCCTCTCCACTAAGAATGAGCAGGTACATCGCCCTGATGGGAGAAAGGGAGAAAAAAAAATGCTCAGCACAATTTTCCTCACAGCTTTCTCACCAAAGAAGTTTTCTGTTTTCTTAAACTTTTTAATGAGCCCCAAGACCATCTGTGTCCTCCTAGAAAATCTCTCAAGGTTACACACTGGGAATCCTAAAGGGAACTCCATCACCTTAACCTTCAGAGCTGACCTCTCTGTCTCCACTTGAACTAGCCCTCCCAAGCCCCTCAAAGCCACTGGTGTTTTGTTTATGTGAGAGACTCTTGCCTTTATTCTGAAATACAAAACAGAAGGAAACAGTGGGGTTTGCTATCTCCAAACTGCTTCAAAGATTCAGGGAAAACAGTAAAAAACAGGTTTTACCCTGATTGCAGGAAGCTTTGCAATCATCACAGGATACAATCAATACATTAAACAATGTTACAGAAAAGACAGTTTTGCAGTGATCATAAGATAGGATCTATACTGTACCTACATTTCTCCAGGGGTCATTGGACCACTATGCCCAGGAAACCTCGTGTGCCCTTGTTTATTTATCTAAACTGGAGGCTGCTTCTCTGCCTGGCCTTACCAGCCCCATCCTCGGAGGTCTCTGAATGGGAGATGCTTCATTCATGGCCACACCTTCCTGAGTTAGAACATCCCCCTGATGGAGCCTAAACGGAACGTTTTTCCTGCAAGGGGGGGAGCTGTTACACTTGGATTTTTAACAAACTTAAATTATGTGGTATTTCTAGTATTCTTTTTTTTTAAAAAACTCATTTTATTAGGGGCTCATACAACTCTTATCACAATCCGTACATACATCATTTGTGTCCAGCACATTCGTATATATGTTGCCAGCATCATTCTCCAAAACACCTGCTTTCTACTTGAGCCCTTGGTATCAGCTTCTCATTTTTTCCCTCCCTCCCCGCTCCACCCCACCCCCGAACCTTTGATAATTTATAAATTATTATTATTTTGTCATATCTCACACCATCCGACGTCTCCCTCACCCACTTCTCCACTGTCCGGAGGTTATATGTAGACCTTGTCATCTGTTCTCCCTTTCACTGTTTTGAGCACCTGGTTGGTTTCAAACCTTCCACCTTACAGTTAGTGGCCCAGTGCATAGCCACTCTGCCACTATGCCACAACATTAAATGACTACATTTGGACTATGTGAATGTGAGGTGTTTGTGACCCACCAAGGGGATTAGATAGCTTGCTAACCATGTAAATAAGGTATCTGGAACACTAACAGGAGATGGGTCAGTTTGGTGATCCTGCTAGCTTCCAATGAGCCATCCCAGCGATGGAAAAAGGAATCTCCCCACCATTCAGAAAGAAGAGCCAGGAGTGAGGTGTGGCCTCTGAACGGAAGCTCCCTACGAGAAGCATCGCAGAGAAGTGGCCCTGATGAATGCAGCGGAACTAAGAGACCGGAATGAGACAGAGCACTGGCTCACAGAGCAAGAAAGCTGAGTGCCTTTACTCAGGTGATCACTAATGGAATAGGTGACTCCACACGCTTGTTTTGGGAACTAAATTTGCTTAGGTTTACTTAGGAGTGAAATGCTTTGGGGGCACTTATCAGCAGAGCTATGAGCTTTATAGGACTTTCCCAAGCGGGGTAGAGGTCAGGCTGAGAAGGCTGATGGCCAGAGAGAGGTCTGCTTTCAGGCACTGCTGAGGGGAAGCTGTCCTGGTCGAAGAACGGTATTTTTATCATTTCTAAACCCAAGGGAGAAAGACAGGGCTTACTACTCCCATAAAGAGTTACAGTCTCAGAAACTCACAGGGAAAGTTCTTATCCTGTCCTCTCGGGTCCTATGACTTCACATCACTCCACTGCAGTGAGTCTGGTTTGTGTTTTCAGAATCCAAGGACCAGGGAGAGGCCATTGTGACCAGAGCATGGTGGGAAGGGGACAGAGAATGGTTTCCGCAATGGGTGGAAGCAGAACCCCACAGGATGTAGGAATTTGTCAACCATGGTATGGATTTGAGATTTTATTTTAAGTCCGAAAGCCATTTAAAGGATTTCGAAGAGATGCACTGAATTCAAAGTTTGGCTGAATGCTGATAAATATGAAAATTAATTTTTTTAGGATGTAAGAACTAATCTAAACATTTATATAAGAATTGAATTGTTATTTTTAAAGTATACAATTTAGTAGTCTCAGGCACAATTTCTCAGTACAAGTATTGTTTCTTCTGACAGACCATGGAATTGAAAATAAATATAATACTAACCAAAAAGTGTTGTTAGCTGCCATTAAGTTGACTCCCACTCACAGTCACCTTTTTCACAAAAGAACAAAATGTTGCCGAGTCCACCCCTATGCTCACAATCACCACCATCGTGGACACAAGTACGCCAATCCATCTCACTAAGAGTCCTCTACGCATCTGTGGCTACCTTACTTCTCCAAACACGACATCTCCCTTGAAGGATGCAGCCATCCAAGTGAGTTGGGCAACTCACTGTTTTTAAAAGAAAAGAACGAAATACCACCAGGATGGTGGCAGCATGAAAGCCATCACATTATTACAAACTGACAAACAGATGTTGGAACCACAATTCACTAGAGATCATATCTATGTTTTCAGCCCGCACAATTTCTATCAATGGCAAACTGTTAAGGGTAAAAAGAATTCCCATTGATAACATCAGTGACGTGAGCACTGCACCAACAGTTTAAATTTCCATCCTAATTTTACCCTTTACAGACCTTGGGCCCTTAAAAAGTCACTTGAGCTTCTTTGGGCCTCGGGTTTCTGCATCTGCATATTATATTGGTTGTTAAGAAGCTCTAATTGATGTAATGAATTTAAAACCACCCTGCAAGCTCAGAAGCTGTTGTTCTCAACCGAGGTTGCTTGGGACCCCCCCTTAAACGAAATCAGATTAGAATGTTATCAGAATCTCTGAAGAGAGTAGTCTCCCAATCATCATCCAGAGAACCTCCACAAAATTCTTAGCTAAAAGGTCATATCAGCCAATAAACATATGAGAAAATGCTCCCGATCGTTAGCCATCAGAGAAATGCAAATTACAACAACCATGAGATACCACCTCACCTCACACCACTGAGGATAGCCCACGTCAGAAAATCAGAGAGCAACCAATGTTGGAGGGGATGTGGCAAGATAGGAACTCTCCTCCACTGCTGATGATCGTGTAGATACGTACAGCCTCTGTGGGAAGTGATCTGGCGATATTTAAAGCAAATGGAAATTGAGTTATCTTATGACCCAACAATCCCTGTACTGGACATATACCCAGAAGAGGTAAGAAATAGACCACAACCAATCATCTGTGCTCCAATGTTTATTGCAGAGCAATTCCCAATCACAAAGAATTGGAAACAACTTCAATTTTCATCAATAGACGAGTGGATTCGACAATGGAGTACTATGCATCCCTAAAAAGCACTAATGATTGCATGAAGCACATAATCTCATGGGAAGCATTGGAGGAAATTATGCTAATCGATGTTAACCAATCACAAAAGGACAAGTACAACACGAGTCCACTGAGGTTAGTAAATCGGCACAGTAGGTATAGAAGAAAAGCCACTTATCTCACACTATACAGGTTAAGGAGCAGGCAATCAAGCGGGGACAGACCAAACCCAAGGATGTTCATGTCATCCCAACACAAAGATGGAGAAAGGAGGATGGGGTGATGAAGAAGGGGTGGGGGAGAAAGAGGGAGATGATAGCACTGGGGGAGCTGGACACTAATCCACCGGGGAGGGGTGGTATTTATGTCTCCACCGAAATGGGAGTGCGAGTGCAGACTCTACCACGGCACGCCAAACCTTGAGGGCAACATAACCACATGGAGCAACCCATGGACAGAGAGGTCTACAGAGCCGGCCCCAATCAGAGCCAATCGGACCCCTTCACTAGAAGTAGGTGCTACAGAGGACAACACTAAACCTACAGGTTGGGGGGAGGGGCCGGCCTGCCATACCCCACAGAAGCAAACCAAGAAGAAAAAAGAGAGAGCGAGGGACTAGACCCCATACTGACACACCAAGCCCTGAGGATGACGTCCCTGCACAGAGCGACTAAGGCACAGAGAGGACTGTAGGGCCGACAACAGCTCGAGATGTCCCCTGGCTGGAGCACACCGAGACAGAGGACAATAGTGGGCACACACAACAGGGAGTGGGTCCGGTCTGAACCCCCCACAATCGGATGAACCAAGAAGGGAACATAACAGATCAGCAACAGGAGCAAAGCCAAGCTACAAATCCCTGCGGAGCCCCCAAAATACACTTCAAGGTAGGAGGGGCAGTTCCCAGAACCCCGCAGGACCAGTGGGGAGATGACCATAAAGGTCGGCGGACAGCGCTGGGATTGTGTATGTTTTTTTGGTGCTGTTTTCTCTCTTTTTCTTCGATCTTTTGTTTTCTTTTTGTTTTGTCTCTGTTATTATTGTTTTGGCTACCTATGTAGGATAGGCATGGGAAGCAAGCCTGAGGAGAAAGCAAAGGGACAGATGGTTCCAGAAGGACTAGTGGGGAGGAGGAAGCAGGGGAAGGGAGCAATGTGCAACCGATGCTATAGACAAGGGAACAACTAGGGAATTAAAGTCAACAATGAAGAGGACGTAGAGATCCTGGTGATGCTGGAGCAACAGCAGTTTAGCTGAGAGGAGTTACGAAGAGGCAGGAGAAGGGCGAGCGTGGTGGTGGTGGTGGTGGTGGGTCAGAAGGAAAGTAAAAGGAACCAGAGGAAAGGTCTAGGAAGCAAAACCATTGATAGAGGTAGAAACAGTTGCGTACATATGTAAATACATTCATTATAAAATTAGAGGTATTGGCCTATGCACATAGTTATGTGGCAATACATTGAGGAAGTAGACAGACTTTGGCCCTCTGCTCAAGCCCTCCCTCAACGCAAGAACACTTTGTTCTAGCCACTGGCATTCTGTGCTGCTCACCCTGAGGACACAATCGCTGAAGACAAAATGGGTGCAATAAGTAAATGTGGTGAAGAAAGCTGATGGTGCCCGGCTATCAAAAGATATAGCGTCTGAGGTCTTAAAGGCTTGAAGGTAAACAAGTGGCCATCTGGCAGAGAAGCAATAAGCCCACATGGAAGGAGCACACCAGCCTGTGTGATCATGAAGGATTGATGGGATCAGATAATAGGCATCAGAAGACCCAAAATAAAAAAACCTGATGTTGAGAATAAAGGGGGTTGGAGGAAAGATCCAAAACTTGTCTGTAGACAATAGGACATCCCCTCACAGAAGGGCCACAAGGAAGGGCGAATCAATGAGGGTCCAATAGAGCACCAGTGAA